TATTAATTCCATCACACGGTCTTCATACTTTCATTTACGCAGTGTCAACTGACTTCGTACCTTTCTCGCTCCTCATGCTGCTGCCACACTTGTCCAAAGCCTCATCACTTCCAGAATCGATTACTGCAGTTCTCTTCTTTTTGGACTCTACAGAAACTAAACTCCTCCAGAACTCTGCAGCCCGGATCATAACCTGTACTCCATCAAGAGAACGCATCACCCTGGTTCTGCAGCGACTTCATTGGTTGCCCGTTGACTCAAGAATACATTTTAAGTTTTTAACTCTCACGTTCAAATGCATCCATAACCTCGCCCCTCCTTATTTGTGTGACCTCCTTCACATCTCTGCTCCTTCTCGTGCCCTTAGATCCACAACTGCCACTTAATCTTACTGTTGCTTCTGCTCGTCTTGTCAGCATGGGGTACAGAGCCTTTAGCCGATGTGCTCCTTGGCTCTGGAATTCCCTCCCTACTGTCATCAGGAACACGGACTCTCTTTCCTCTTTCAAAAGCCCCTGAAACACACACAGTTGTGTTTCAGGGGCTTTTATTCGTGATAATTTTTCAGATTGAGTAGGTACAGAAAATGCCTGTAAATAACAAGGTAAAATTACTCATAACTGAATATTCACCTAGGAAGATTTTGATCTGTTGAAATTTTTTTGTTTTTGTTTTTTTCAAGGACCTAGCTAAAACCTCTCGTTACCAAAGTATCAGTAATGATAATTTCAGAGCAGAAATTAGTAACCGGTGTGTTTAAAAATGAGTGATGTAAATGAATTAAATTAAGTATTTCCACCTATCCATCCTTCATATGGGCAGCAGCTTCAGCAGGGAGGCCTAAACTGAGACTATACTGTACGTATGCACAACAGTTTGAACTTGTTTAACTAAAAAAATGAAGCCATCAACTGCAAGTAATATATATTTTTATAATCTATAGAAAATGTTATTGTTCATTGCATTATTTCCATACACGTTATTGTAGAAAACCTAAACTTACTGCATTAAATTCCCACTTGCAGTTCAAGTTTATCACCAGTAGATGTCAGTGCAGACTTAAATTGTAATTTAGCCTGTCTGAGGGTGAGAATTTTAATATGGAACTAATGAAGTGTTAAAACACAGATTTGTGGGATAAAGAAGGAGAATAGCCACTCAGATTAAATCACTGCATTAGATTACTTATCATCTCATATTATTATTTATGTTTAGTTCAATGAGCAGTTTTTTAAACGGTCTAGTTCTTTAAAAAAGGTGTTTTACAGTTTTCCTTGTCCACTGGCAAAGACTAACATTTTTTTTCAAAGTTTGTTCGTTTGTGAAGTTGACAAAAATCCTATAAATAAATGGATTATTTAAATAATATTTTTGAAAAAGTAATAAAGATGTGATCAGAACTAATTAACTTTTGGTATAAACTCAATTCAAATTGGCTACCATAGTTAAACGATGTTAAACAAAATGGCTCTTTGTTAATTTTACACATCTTGATTTAAATTTTGTGTGTTAGTAGTTGGTCATGTTAAGAGTCACAAGATCCCTTTTAAAATCATTGCCATTAACTTTAAGCTTGAACTCTGTGCCTGTTAAGGCCCTGACACATTAGACAACTTATACAAACTGTTGAACGTTTTAAAGACATCTACATTGAAGATGGAATTGAAAAAATCAACAGGAAGCTACTTTTTGGCATGTACATAATGTAATTCAAACAAATTGATCAAATATATAACGTTTATTAGCAATTTAGACATAAAAATGTTTCACAAGTTGTCTAGTGTGACAGGACCTTTAGCAAAATATCTCGTCAATCACTTGGTAGATTCTGCTGAAACTTTCAAATAGTAATACTTGTAAAAGGATGTACATACAGCAGGTAAAATAAGTATTGAACACGTCACCATTTTTCTCAGTAAATATATTACTAGAGGTGCTAATGACGTGAAATTTTCACCAGATGTCGGTAACAACACAAGTGATCCATATATACAAAGAAATCAAACCTTAAATGTCCAGAAATGAAGTTATTTGTAATAATGTGG